GCCCTAATTACGGGCTTGAGATGTACCGGGGAAGAAGAAGCTAGAGCCCGTATTACACGAAATAAAAGGTTATTGGATTTATATTTTGGAGGTAAAGGGCCAGTTACACCACCACAGTTAGAGGACGCATTTTGGAGATGCGATCACATGTTAGACAAGTTGAAGTTAGGATTGGTGTATATACTGGAGAGTATATTGAGGTGTCGACATCGTAGGACGTCAATTGATCTTTTTTCATTGGATGTTGTTGATGATATCGATGCTTTCAACAGCTTTCCATGGAGTTGGAGATGTTACACCGATACTCTCCATGTATTCAGAAGGGTACATACTATGTCGAAATCGGAGAGGGGCAATCGCAAATATGATGTATATTGCTTTTGCATGGCTTTGCAGGTAAATATTCAGTGTAACGTAATGCGTGTTAAACTTTTTTATTAACTGTATATGTAAAGTTTTATTTTGTAATTGTTGCAGTTGTGGGCATATGAGGCTATCCCTGCTTTGGGTAGCAAATGGGCGATCAGAAGGGAGACCAGCTGCCCACGAATGCTTCATTGGCGAGCACATGAAAAGACATCGACTAAAGATTTGACAGTTATCCTCGACAATCCTCAGGTGAGTATTATATATTTGCAATTTATATTGTACATACATTTACTCGGCTCGATACATACTCGTTAACACGTTGAAATATGATATGTCAGCTCGAAGTTCATACTGAGTTGGTTGTTTCGGTGGAAGAGGAGGATGCAATATATGTACGTGAATTACTTGTTCCACCTACTGAAGACGATCCAATATTTGAGTCCGTTCCGGATAGAAATATAGTACGTTTATTTAAGATCATTATTTATTTTGACTTATAAATTTATGTGTGGATTATTAATATTAATTGTCTTCTCTGTATAGGAGCGTCATCCGAAATTTTCACTTAGGAGATCTCCTTCGCCTCCACCGATGAGTTCGCCTCTACCGCCATTATCTCATTCTCCGAGGATATCTCCGTCTCCCGTACCCACCCACCTCCCACATGGATCGCCTACACCTAGTCAGACCCGTCATTCAGATGATTTCTTTGCACGCATGACTGGCATTATTAGAGAGGAGCTGGGAACGATGCGACGTGATTTTATGACAGAGGTAGTCGCACTACGAGAGGAGATAGGGGTGTTGCGACGATATTTTACGACAGAGATCGTCGCAGTACGATAGGAGATAGGGGTGCTGCGACGAGATTTTACGACAGATGTAGTAGCTTTGCGAGATGAGATTGGAGTGCTGCGACGAGATATAGGAGACCTTCATACTGAGGTTGCAGCACTTCGAGGCGATGTAGCAGGCGTCCGAGGGAATGTCGGGGAGACTGTTGTCCCTCGAGATTGGTGGGCAACGGCCGCAGGAATCGATGAGTTTTTTAGTTCGGTGCCGAAGGCCGGGAGGGAGGCTGGGGTGGAGGTCGGGCAGGAGGAGCCGGAGGAGGCTGGGATGCCCCGGGTGGAGGTCGGGTCGGAGGTGCCGGAGGAGGCCGAGATAGAGGAGGTGGAGGGAGGGACAGGGGTGGCCGAGGAGGTAGCGGAGGGGATATCAGAGGTGGTAGTAGAGGGGGATGATCAGGTTGCGGAGGACGAGAGGACTCCAGAGATGACGGATGACGAGGTAGTAATCGTGTCAGAGGGGGCGACGGAGGTCCCGAAGGGTAAGAAGCGTGCTACTGACGCGCCAGAGCTGATGGTCGGTAAGAGATCAAGATTGCCGTCACAGTACATCGTTTCTCCATACACGGCCGACGCGAAGAGAAGGGGGTTTGTAGATGGGGCGTTCCCCAATCTTTTTTGCGACGTCGACCCAGTCAGACAGAAAGCGTTCGATGATTGGTTCAAATCCCTTAAGTCCGAGTAAGTATTTTATGATTTTGCTACTATTTTTTTGTATTTTTCGTAACTGTTTTTTCATTTTTCAGAGATAGTTATACCATCGGCTGTATGACCGTGCCCAATGCTAAAAAGTGGTTTGAAAATGTACTGACGACCTCAGTTTGGCTCGCTGATGATGTAAGTTTTTTGAGTTTCCGTTTATTATATTTATAGAAGTTGTTGGTTCATTTACTTAAATGACTCTATCTTTTTTGTTGGTGTTTTTTTGTTTCAACATATCGACTTGGCTATGGAATTGTTACGCGATCGGGCGCGGAGATACCCGAGATCTTATGACAGTCCTACTCGAGTTATCCTGAGGTCTGAGTTCGTTCGTGTCGTAGATATTGAGCATCACGAGCTCCTAAGTAAGGGGAATGATTATGTTCTGTCTGAGTACATGCTGGAGTAGGTGATTGGACTATAGTTGAGGTGCGGAAAGTCGTGGACGGATTGTACACATATGTACATTCCAGTGATCGCGAACTCACATTGTTTTTCGGTGGAGATCGTATTTGCTGATTCCACCATATATGTGTACGACTCTGATCATAGCTGTCTGACACAAAGTCAACTGGAGCAAATACTGGAGCCATTGGCTGTGATCGTGCCCATGATGGCTAGTCATGCGATAATTCGAGTAAATGATAGATTAGCCATTGTGCGGAACATGACGACGATGAGACAAGAAAGATCGTAAGGATTTACAACTTTTTTTTAATTTTCAGATTTAATTTTCAATTATATGTTATGGAACTAATATATTCTACTTTGGTTGCAGGGGTGCCTGTGGCTTATTTGCAATCAAGTACGTAGAGTTCTTGAGCATTGGTCGCAATATTGATACAATAAATCAGTCTTAGATTGATATGTGGATGCATAAATTAGCTTGCGACTTGTATGAATATAACTGTGATCCTTAGTGCATTGTATATTATTTTATTAAAATGTAAATGTTGTTTACATCAGTAGGATTCGTGTTGTACTGAAAGAAATAAATAATCGAAATAGAGTAATTAAATATGAAATAAATAAAACACATGATTAATGAAATATTTAAAGAATAAATTAAATTGAATAATATTTTTTTACTTAACCAATTAAGATAATTAATTAAAGAAATAGTAAAACGAAAAATCGAATAAATATTATTCAAATATGAAATAAATAAAACACATGATTAATGAAATATTTAAAGAATAAATTAAATTGAATAATATTTTTTTACTTAACCAATTAAGATAATTAATTAAAGAAATAGTAAAACGAAAAATCGAATAAATATTATTCAAATATGAAATAAATAAAACACATGATTAATGAAATATTTAAAGAATAAATTAAATTGAATAATATTTTTTTACTTAACCAATTAAGATAATTAATTAAAGAAATAGTAAAACGAAAAATCGAATAAATATTATTCAAATATGAAATAAATAAAACACATGATTAATGAAATATTTAAAGAATAAATTAAATTGAATAATATTTTTTTACTTAACCAATTAAGATAATTAATTAAAGAAATAGTAAAACGAAAAATCGAATAAATATTATTCAAATATGAAATAAATAAAACACATGATTAATGAAATATTTAAAGAATAAATTAAATTGAATAATATTTTTTTACTTAACCAATTAAGATAATTAATTAAAGAAATAGTAAAACGAAAAATCGAATAAATATTATTCAAATATGAAATAAATAAAACACATGATTAATGAAATATTTAAAGAATAAATTAAATTGAATAATATTTTTTTACTTAACCAATTAAGATAATTAATTAAAGAAATAGTAAAACGAAAAATCGAATAAATATTATTCAAATATGAAATAAATAAAACACATGATTAATGAAATATTTAAAGAATAAATTAAATTGAATAATATTTTTTTACTTAACCAATTAAGATAATTAATTAAAGAAATAGTAAAACGAAAAATCGAATAAATATTATTCAAATATGAAATAAATAAAACACATGATTAATGAAATATTTAAAGAATAAATTAAATTGAATAATATTTTTTTACTTAACCAATTAAGATAATTAATTAAAGAAATAGTAAAACGAAAAATCGAATAAATATTATTCAAATATGAAATAAATAAAACACATGATTAATGAAATATTTAAAGAATAAATTAAATTGAATAATATTTTTTTTACTTAACCAATTTAGAGAATTAATTAAAGAAATAGTAAAACGAAAAATCAAATAAATATTATTATTTTTATGCAAATAAATAATCGAAATTGAGTAATTAAATATGAAATAAATAAAACACATGATTAACAAAATATTTTTTTTACTTAACCAATTAAAATAATTAATTAAAGAAATAGCAATCTCTCTATATTGTTAGTTAATATATATCGTTGTCTCACTTGTTTTAAAAGAAAACAAACATATACATGGCACATAGAAAATACATATGACAAATGTGATAAAAATTAAAAAGAGTAATTAAACAATGTGATAAAGATTACATCCGATTTAAATTCAGAAAATCACAAACACATGACAAATACAGAATACATATGATTTATATAGATACTACACATCCGTCGAGTCATTATTTAGTGGCATCTGACTTGTACAAAATCGACGTGTATGTCCTGTAGCGCCGCAACTCCCGCACTTACGCGGTTGTGGAAACTCTCCTGTAGATGGTATTCTAGATGTCCGTCTACAATCAGGAGTACGCGGTGGAGCTTCAGGTGGCAACAAATTATTAAGTGCTACAATATAATCAGGAACTTCCCACTCGGCTTCATTTGGTAGAGGAAATATAGTTTCGGCATACGCTGCTCTCCAAAAATCAGTCATATACTAATGACTGCACAAGCTGTGTGGTGGAAATCCTCTATACATAGCCATTGTGACAGCATGTGCACATGGAAAACTTTCCAACTGAAATTTTCTACACGTGCAGGTATTGTCATTCAAGTCTACAATGTATCCAACATTACGCCCGCATCTCACGGAGAAGCGAAATTGATCTAGTGGTTCCACAAATAGAGCTTTTGCCACTTCCAGAGTTTTGAATAGTCGATCTTCCTGTGCCGGAGCTAGCACACTCCTACAATTTTGGGATTCTTTACGTCGGTCATAAAACCACTGTTGCAACTTGTTGCGAATATGTTCAATTATTGCGAGAATCGGTAACTCTCGATCCTTCTTGAATAATGCATTGAGTGACTCTGCATTATTCGACGTCATCATGTTGTATCGACGTCTTGGAAAATGTGACCGTGCCCAATGTTCGACCCCCATATCTGATAGATATTCCCATGTACTTTCTGATTTATGTTCTATTTCGCCCATGAATTTTGTAAACTCTTCAAAGCTGTAAGTTTCTGCAGTTCTCCTAAACAATGCAACGATGCCACTGCCCTGGTACCTAGTTTTCAGATTGCCCTGGATGTGGCACATGCAATAACCATGATGTGCTTCTGGAAAAACTTCGGCTATACCATTTATTATTGACTGCCCCCGGTCAATCACAAATGCAAGGTTCTCGATGTTCCCAATTACTTCTCTCAACTTCGTGAAGAACCAACGCATTGCTATGCAAGAGGGTAAATTTGGATATTGGCATCTTGACAAGTAACAATAATCAACTTTCCTTCATATTTAGCTTTTAGGGTTGTACCATCAACTAGAATTAGAGGTCGCATCGCATTTCGAAAACCTCTAATGCATTGTCCAAGAGCCATAAAAAAATACTTGAAGCGATTCTGCCCATCGGTTTCAATAAAAAACGTCGAGTTAGAATTAGTTCTCACCATGTTGTGGCAATACCTGGCCAATTTGGCATAACTCTCCTCTGTCGAACCCATTAAATCTTCCAATGCACATTCTTTAGCCTTCCAAGCCTTCTGGTAACTCATAACCACCCCATACTCTCGACGGATGTCGTTGATGATATCTGTAGGTCTGTAAATTGTCTGTGGATCCTGAAATTTGTGCATTATCTGTCGACCAATAAACCATGATCGAGCTTGTCTGTGATCATTTTGACAAATACCCACTTCACAAGTATGTTCCCGCGCATACTTACGAACAACAAAGAACTCATTTGTGTCCATCTTTGTCGCACTCAAACGCCAACTGCAATTGTTATCCACACAAATAATTGTGTATGTAGACTTGTTTGATTTTTTTACCTTAAACTCAAAATTACGTCTCATTGCAATTTGGTACATGGCTTCTTGCAAATCTCTTTTCGCGTCAAACAATTGATCGACATGTAAATCTTCATCATCAGGAACTACACGCGAACAATTAGAAGACCGTGTACTCAGCCCAGCATGTGAGCTCCTACCAGACTCATGTCTCTGTCTGGATAAATCAATTAAATCCTGATTTGTAAATGGCCTTTCATCTTCGTTGTCTTGAACTTCCTCGTAAATCCTTCGTGTAACGGTGACATTATGGTGAGTAGCAACTGCCCCAGAAATAACCACATGATCCTCCCGAGCAATCTCAAGAGCATCCCAAAAATCATTCTCATTACGATCTTCTCCATCAAAAACTTCGTGTTCACCCTCAATGACATTTTTCTTCAACAAACTTACGCAAATAGGAGTCGTCTTTCGAACTTGGTTCAATTGAATTAGATGTTTTATTTGCGCTTCAGAAGTAACTTTCAAAGGTGGAATCGAAATTGTTGAATGCTTTTGAAATAAAAATCTCAATTCCATATCGTACTGAGAGGAATCGACGTTAAGCATGTTTTGTATTTCACTGTACATTTCTGTAAACGAAGTATTTTTTGTTATCGTAATAGCAGCAACCCCTTCTCCTTCACTCGTCCATTTCCATTCCCATTGACCATTTTCTTTCCTTTGAAATTCGCCGAAATAACAAATTGGGACACATGCTTTTGCCATATCTGCATTACGAATTAAAAATATCAGAACAAATTATCAGAAATAAAATTATCAGAATCGAGGGGCGGACCGTCCGTTTATTCCGACGTCTAATTGGTGCCGGCCTGAACTTTGGCTCTAATATTATTTTTTCTACCATTTAAAAAAAATATACGACTTCAATAAAAATAAAATTAAATACTAGGAAAAGATACTTATCGAATTGAAGTGCTGAAATTTAACTAAATTTTTCTGTTGAGGTTGATAACTGATAAGTTTATGAAATTTTGAGGTTGAAGTGGATAAAAATGAAAGAATTTTTATCGTGTTAGAGTAAACTGATGAAAAGACTGACTTCGTTTTCAAATTTCAATTGAGAAGTGTTTGGATTTTTATTTGTAAGTTAAGGATATTTTTGTCTTTTTACCGTATTTCTATTTTTGTAATTATATAATTCATTTAAGGGCGTTTTTGTCTTTTGCACAAGAAATGGCCATTGTGATGAATGCTAGATTTTTTTGGTTAAAATAGAAAATGGTTGACTTGATAAAGTCAAACTTAAAAGTACTCCTAGTTGACTGAGCTAATGCGAAAGTTGCAGTGAGAGAGATTCATTTTCATGGCTCCTCTATTCTCCACCATTGCATCTGCAATTCTCTGTCTTGCTTTGTTAATAGGACGCAAAAAGGCTTATGGAGATGGATGCTACAGATCTGTAATCAGTTTCGGCGATTCACTTGCCGACACTGGGAATCTGCTTCACATGCGTCCACCTGGTACGCCTATTCAATCTGGGAGATGGCCTTATGGGAAAACTTTCTTCCATCACCCCACTGGACGGTTTTCCGACGGTCGACTCATTATCGATTTCATTGGTATGTGTTAAACTTTTTTTTTTTTTTTTCAATCGTGTTGATTACCGATTCTGAATTCAATTTTTGTTTGTATTATATTGTAGCTCAGAGTTTGGGGCTACCATTTTTGGAACCATTTATCGATCAGGTAAAAAATGCAAATACGAGTAGCAGAGATTTTAGTAAAGGTGTGAATTTTGCAGTTGGCGGAGCTACGGCACTTGATGTATCGTTTCTTGAGAAATATGGGATCTTTAATCCTTTGACTAACATCTCTCTGAGCACTCAGTTGGATTGGTTCAAAGAATATTTTACCATATTTTGCCAGGCAAATTCAGGTAATTCTATTTGAGTTCGTTTGTTGTTACAATTAAAATTAGAGACAGTAAGTACAGTAACTAACATTAATTAATTAATTATCCAACCAATCTATTGTCCAAGTTAAAAAAGTTTAATGTCCTTAATCTTCATGTATTAATTTTTTTTTTGTTGTTCGTGCCAATTAATGCATTTTGACTGCAGATTGTAAAACATTTCTCCAAACGTCTCTAATTATAGTGGGGGAGATCGGAGGCAACGAATACAATTATGCATTCGTGCAAGGGGCAAACAGAGAAGTGATTGAATCATTTGTTATTGCCATTATCGGCAACATCAGTTTCACGATCCAAGTACGTTAGAACCTTGCTCAAATTTTGCAACTAATTTGATTTTTTTCTCCTTTCTACCGGCACCTGTGTGTGCAGCTGCCTAACTCATTTTACTCTTATAAAGAAGTATATATTTTATTTGTGAAGCAGGAGTTGATTAAGCTTGGAGCCAGGACAGTGATGGTACCTGGGAACCTGCCAATCGGTTGTCTGCCTTATTATCTTTCATATTACGAGAACTCGGAAGAGAAGGAATACGACCCAAAAACTGGTTGCCTTAACTGGTTAAACAGGTTTTCCGAGTACCATAACGAGCTGCTTCAGAAGGAACTGAATCGCCTACGTGGTCTTTATCCTCATGCCACCATTACATATGGAGATTATTACAATGCTGCAATGCGCCTTTATCTTTCTCCCATCAAATATGGTACTTAAACAACGTAAAATGATATAAAAAATTCTAGTTCACTGAAACTTTTGCTATGCCTTCCCCAGCTCTAATTTATTTTCGTTTGGGATCAAAATTTAGACTTGTCCAATGTTTGTTGCAGGATTTACCAGTGTTCTTAGAGCATGCTGTGGAGGAGGAGGACCATACAACTTCAATGCATCAGCTTGGTGCAGCTATCTGTCATCAACCGATTGTGATGATCCCTCTAAATATGTTAGTTGGGACGGTATCCACTTCACAGAGGCGGCCTATCGTTGGATAGCACAGGGTCTATTCGAAGGACCCTACACCAATCCTCCCATCCGAACAGTGTGTTCCTCAATATCCAGAACCTACGAACTTTCCGAGTATTAATACAGTATGAATTGATTGAAGCTGGAATTGCGTGCCAGTTCCGTGGGTTGAAACAGCTACTTTCCCTTGCCAAGTAACTTAGTAGTTAGAACTAGCTAGTTTGCACTCTAGTACTCGTAAAATATATATCTGGGTTTTTACCCGCAATTTGTGGACGAGTATTACTATAATGTGCCATCGTCATGTCACTCAGCATGAAATATTTTGAAGACTCGTGCTTATTCTCATAATCACTAACGTCATCGGAGTTGGTCAAATTTTGATGTAGGACATATTGGGAAAAGAAACATTAGTAGAAATAAAACCTCATCTTAATTTCGGATTGGGCCCATAAGACCGTTTTGAAAGGAGAATGACGAGATGAACAATACTCACCTCGATATCTTTTGATGCATAACATGGGTGACGTACCAGTTACTAGAGCAGATTTAGATGCATCTAACCGAAAGCTTGACGAACGGATTGACCATCTCACTACTTAGATCGAAGAAATTCGTCAATTGATTCTACGAGGTGCTGAAAACAATGGGCAGAATAAACAACGGGTAACCAATAATGAGTGAATGGCTGAGCCTGTAGTTCGGAGAGAAAATAATAGAAGGCGTGTAGTAAAAGACGGTGAATCAGAGTCGAAGGAAGAGATCGGAGTATCGCCGCATCATCCTAGTCATCAAAATCGAAATACCTTTGATGATTATCGGATTAAAGCAGACATTCCTCCATTCTTTGGAAACATGAAGATCGAGGACTTCTTGGATTGGTTGGTCGAGGTTGAGAGATTCTTTGAAATTATGGATGTCTTAGAGGACAAGATGGTTAAGATGGTGGCATTCCGTTTGACATCTGCGGCAGCAGTATGGTGAGATCAATTACAGATACTCGACGGAGATTGGGAAAGAGTCGGATTCAAACTTGGAGAAAGATGAAATAGTCTTTGATGTATCGATTTTTACCTGCAGATTATGAACAGATTTTATATCGTATATACCTGGGATGCATACAGGGCGATCGTACAGTGTCAGATTACACCAATGAATTTATGCGATTAGCGAAGCAGAATAATCTGTCAGAATCTGAAAATCAAAAGGTAGCCAGGTATACCAGTGGTTTGAAGGTGACCATTCAAGATAGAATTGAGATGCAGAATATTTGGACATTATAAGAAGCTATTAACATGGCGATGAAAGTGAAGATGATGGGATTTGATAAGAGGGTGGTTTCATATAGAAGGCCCTTACCTGCCAAAACATCAACATCCGCTCCTTCAGGCAAAGAAAAGTCCTCGCCACAAGCCCCAGTCAATCCTAACAGAAGTAAGGTTGACAACAGTGGTCGGTTTGGAAACAGAGGTCAGACTCGAGGGGCACATCAGAATGCAAATCCATGTGCTAAGCCCACGAGAGAAATTTGCTATAGATGTCAAAAGATTAGGCATCGTTCCAATAACTGTCCTGAGATGAAGCAGGTCAATTTGGTGGAGTCGGAGGCAGAAGAGGAGGAGGAAGATACTGAAGTAGATGATGAGTACGCAAGAGTAGAGTTTGCTATAGAGGAAGGAGTAGAAAGGCTCGCTTTAATACTGCAACAAATCCTTTTATCACATAAGGAGAAAGAACAACGTCATTGCATCTTCCGTTCATTTTGTTCTGTAAAAAATAAAGCGTGTGAAGTGATTGTTGATAATGAAAGTTGTGAGAATTGAAACTGGTGAATTTGTTGAAATTATCAGTTGAGAGTCATTCTAAACCTTATTCACTTGGTTAGGTAAAGAGAAGTCATTTTGTTTAAATTGCTGAAACTTGCAAAGTACCTATTTCTATTGGTAAGTATTATAAGGATGAAATTATGTGTGATATCATAGATATGGATGCTTGTCATATCTTATTGGGTCGTCCATGGTAATTTGATATGGATTCAACTCTCAAAGGGCAATATAATACTATTTTCATGGGACAATCATAAGATTGCTTTGGTTCCTCTCAAACAGGCGTAGAAGTCTATCCATCAACGAACTGAGAATTTCCTTACACTTACCAATGATGAGAAGGAGATCACGGAGCCTGTAAGAGAATCTGATTGCTTCTATCCAGTTGTAGTTAAGGGACTTTTTGTAGTAAATAAGGAAGATGAGGGTGTTCCATCTAAGGTACACGAAATATTGACAAAATTTGAAAACTTGACTTTCGATGAATTGCCGAATGAGTTACTTCCCGTGAGGAATATTCGGCACCAGATTGATTTGGTACCTGGGGCTAGCCTTCGAAAGTTGCCTCATTACTGAATGTGTCCAAAGGAGAATGAGATTCCAAGAGAGCAAATTGAGAAGTTGTTGAGAAAAGGGTTCATAAGAGAGAGTATGAGTCCATGTACAGTACTTATCCTTCTAGTGCTAAAGAAAGATGGAAAGTGCCGTATGTGTGTTAATAGTCGTGCCATCACAAGATAACAGTGAAGTACATGTTTCTCATTCCACGGTTGGAGGATATGTTAGATATGCTTGGGGGTTCTAAAGTCTTCTCAAAAATAGATCTTTGCAGTGGTTATCATTAGATCCATATTAAACCCGGAGATGAATGGAAGACTGCCTTCAAGAGTAAGGATAGACTTTGCAAATGGTTGATGATGCCATTCGGACTTTCAAATGCTCCAAGCACCTTCATAAGGAGGATAAACCAGATTCTCCGTCCTTATATTGGGTCTTTTGTTGTGGTTTACTTCGATGACATCCTTATTTACAACAAGTTTAAAGAGGATCGCCTAATTTACTTGAGGCAAGTTCTAGAGGTTCTGAAGGAAATCAATTGTACATCAACTTAAAGAAGTGCACCTCCTGTACATCTAAGCTATTGTTTTTAGATTTTGTGGTAGGTAAAGATGGTCTGCATGTAGATGAAGAGAAGACCAAAGCAATCGAGCTTGGCCAACACCAAAGTCAATTTCTGAAGTGAGGAGTTTTCATGGGTTAGCAACTTTCTACAGACGGCTTATCAAGCACTTTAGCACTATCGTGGCACCTTTCATCGAATGTTTGAAGAAAGGAAGATTCAGTTGGGAAGAGGAACAAGATAAGAGATTCGCTTTCTTTAAAGAAAAGTTGTGCACAGTTTCAGTATTAGCTTTACCAAGCTTCAAAAAGATGCTAATGGTATTGGCCTTGGGGCTGTCCTTTCTCAAGAGAAGAGATCCGTGGCTTTCTTTTCAGAAAAGTTAAGTGATGCCAGGCAGAAGTGGAGTATCTATGAGCAAGAATTCTATGCAGATGTGAGGGCTTTGAAGCAATGAGAACACTACCTGGTACAGAATGAGTTTGTGTTGTTCACTGATCACCAAGCCTTGAAATTCATTTATAGTCAGAAGCATATCAGTAGAATGCATGCTCGGTGGGTGACTTTACTCCAGAAATTTCCTTTTGTGATTAAACATAAATCTGGAAGTACAAACAGAGTTGCAGATGCACTAAGCTGGAGGGCTTCCTTATTGATCACATTATCACAGGAAATTTTCGAGTTCTAGTGCTTGAAAAAATTATATGCAGATGATCCTGACTTTAAGGAGATTTGGAGCAAGTGTGTGAATCGGGAATCAATGGTGGATTTTTATATTAGTGATGGATATTTGTTCAAAGGCAACAAACCTTGTATTCCTATTTCATCTCTTCGTGAAAAGTTGATTCGAAATCTGCATGGTGGAGGTTTAAGTGGGCACTTGGGGTATGACAAGACAATAGCCGGTTTGGAGGCTAGGTATTATTGGCCATAGTTGAAGTGGGATGTTGGAATTATAGTCAGAAAGTGTTATACTTGTCAAGTGTCAAAGGGTCAAGTGCAGAATACTGAGTTGTACATGCCACTTCCTGTCCCTCAGGGTATATGGCAAGATCTGGCTATTAATTTTGTTTTGGGATTACCTCTACTCAACGGGGAGTAGATTTTGTTTTTATGTTGGTTGACAAGCTCTCCAAAATAGTGCACTTCATAGATTATCGAAAGACTTCAGACGCATCTCATATTGTCAAACTGTTTTTCAGGAAGATTGTTAGATTGCATGGAGTTCCCAACTCTATCACATCAGACCGGGATATAAAATCTATGGGGCACTTTTGGATTACTTTGTGGAAGTTGTTTGTAATCAATTTGAATCGAAGCAGTACTACCCATCCCTAAACTGATGGACAGACCAAGGTTACTAACCATACCCTTGGAAACATGGTTCAAAGTGTTTGTGAAGATAAGCCTAAATAGTGGGACATTGCACTACCTCAAGTGGAGTTCGCGTACAACAGCGCAGCTCATACGGCTACAAGCAAGACCTCATTTGCTATTGTGTATACAGAGGTGCCTTACCATGTAGTGGATTTGGTGAAATTGCCTAAAGGTGATAACAAAAGTGTTGCTGTTGAATATCTGGCAGAGGAGGTGTTAGCAGTTCATGATGAGGTAAAATAGAAGTTAGAGAAAACTAATGCAAAGTATAAGGCAGTAGTAGATTTGCATCGACGGAATAAACAATTTCAGGAAGGGGACTCGGTGATGGTGTTTTTGAGAAAGGAGAGATTTCCCATTGGTACTTACAATATGCTGAAACTAAGAAAGTATAGACCTTTCAAAGTGCTTAACCGGATTAACAACAATGCCTACATTATTGATTTGCTAGCTTCTATGGGTATTTCTTGAACGTTTAATGTGGCAGATTTGTATGAGTTCCATAAAGATGATAAGTCTATTCAGATTATAACTCGAGGTCGAGTTCTTCAGAGATGGAAGGAACTGATGTAGGACATATTGGTCATATTGAAGAAAGAAACACTAGTAGAAATAAAATCTTATCTTAATTTTGGATTGGGCCCATAAGACAATTTTGGAAGGAGAACGACAAGAGGAACAATATTCACTGCTATGCTATGATGTACGACGAATTTTGGCCATTCGAGTTCGTTTATGCTTTGAAAACTGGTTTTTAAAGTTTTGGCGCTATTTTTGTCAATCTATTTTGGGTTTTTTTGCAATTCTAGTTTGTTTAAACTTCTTTTTTGTTACTTTTAATTGTTCTAAACTACGTTTCCATCTTAGTTCGTTTTTACATTATCTTTCATTAATAAAATTCATGAGTTTATTTTTTTTATTATTTGGTGAATTCCAAATTTTTTGTTCTTAAGGTTTTCGCTTGAATTCCTTGTTTTGCGCTGCATCAAATTTGTTCCTTTATTAATTGAATAAACTCCCTTTGGTGG